AGGCAATTAATGGAATCTGGATTTACTTTGTTCGGTTGTGGAAATTATTGAGTGCGACTCTACTTTGTGGGCCATTGCATGTTCTCACATCACAACCAGCATGTTGCAATATAATTACTTATCAATGAGAATTAAATCTAATAAAAGAATTAATATCTCACAACATAATAAATTAATATTTAAATTCTTACTAAAAAAAGTGTCCCAAATTGTGCCTTGGATATTAGGATATATGATTGTCTTTAATGTGTGAATGGATGGATTGTTAGGCATGTTCACCATAATCAAACGCATTAGTGCTATAGGATAAAAAAAAAATAAAGAAAATCAAATTGCATGTTTTTTCTCTTTTATTAGAAACACAAAATAATACTCATATGAAGTCTAACGCTGTTGAAGGAAGAAGTTATAGTGGCTTAAACACAAAATTTTATATTTAAATAATTTGTGTGAATGCTGATTTTTTAATTCTATTAAATTACTTTAACCCATATTATTTGTTCCACAAGTCAAATAAATCAATCTCTTGATTAAGTGGGTTGACTGTTTAACTCACCATATTTAAAAAAATTATTAAATTTGAAAAAATCTGAAATTCTTTATGTAAAAGATTGTTTTTTATTTATATTGTAATAATTATTGTAATTATAATGTAAAAGAAAGTTTACTTATATGTTGGAGATATATTGCTATGTTAGCATTGGTAATGAAACTATATATTATTATAAGAAATTTTGGAATGTCAGTGAAGTTAAAGAATTTAAGAATTTTGTATCTTGCTTATATGGTATTGTTTAATTTTGAAGAATATAAGGCAATATCATATAATTTTTCTACGTATATTTCCTAGTAAGAAATAGAAAAAGTGAATACTGAATCAAGAATTTTTTAATCTATTTTTAATCTTTAATTTAATTTTTTTAAAAAATTAAATATAATAAATCAAGATTTTATAGTATTAATATTTAAATAGGTAAGTTGAATCTCAAAAACTCATCTGAGTCATAACATGACTCTAAGTTCAAATAGCACTTAAAAACTTATAAATTATCTATTAACAAGGCTTTTTTATTAATAGTGAGATTTAATATTATAATTTTATAAATTATAGATTAAATTTTTATTAATCCAGCCAACAATGTTGGTAAATGAGTGCGGACTTTGATTTTGTGTCTCCCCATCAACTTCACCGTAATACTTACGAGACTGTTGCACATGCATTTTTATTACTATTAAAAAGTGATGTGACGAGAAGACGAGGCATAAATAATTAATCATTGCATATAAAAATGTACTCCCTTCTCTCCCTCTCCGTATATAAAATATTTTCAATTAAGTCATATAAATTAATAAAAATTAATTATGTAATTAAAAGTATGGCATCATTTTAATTTTACTATTAATTATTATAAATAAAAAATAAATCTTTTTCAAAGTAAATTAATAAAAGTACTTATTTTACTTATTTTGAATTGAATTTTACTTCAGTATAGTAATTACTTATTTTTAAATAATAATTATATCTTACAACAACAACAACAAGCATTTATCTCACTAGGTGGGGTTGGCTACATGGATTACAAGACGTCATTGTGCTCTATCATTTATCAAGCTTTTAGAAATATTATTAATTAAGAGATCGCGTTCAACAACTTCCAAGAGTATTCTCTTAGGCCTTCCTCTACCCCTCTTAATCGGACTCAAAGTTATATGTTTCACTCTTCTCACTGGTGCCTCCCTTAATCTTCTTTGTACATGCCCAAACCATCTCAACCGATTTTCTACCATTTTTTTCTCAATAAGTGCTACCCTCACTTTTTCGCGTACGTGTTCATTTCAAAATTTATTTTTACGTGTATGTCCGCACATTCATCGTAACATTCTCATCTCTGCTACTTTAACTTTATACTCTTGCTGTCCATTAAAGCCTAATATTCATTACTATATAATATTACCGGTCTGATGGCAGTGTGATAAAACTTTTATGAGATGTTGAAAAAATGTTATATAATATTTTTTTTTAAAATGTGACGAGTGTTGAAATTTGAAAATGACACGCACATTCATTTTTTTGTCCAAAAGAGACAAAAAAAAGGCAGATGCATTGAAGAGCTTCACCAATCAGCAGCCTTGGCCTTTCCTCACGTGTTTGTGTTTTGGATTCCGTGTTTTACTTTGGCACTTTACGGACACCGACTTGAACTGTGCGGCTCACAGCTCTTGGGACCTCACCGCCACTCGTCCCTTTCTTTCTTTTTTCCTCGTCTTATTTTTTTATCTTTTTAGTTTTGGGATCAACCGATTTATTTTATCTAAGCTTTTAACAATTATGAGTTATGAGTTTTCACGAGACAGGACTAAACCAAAACAGTTTATTCAGACAAATAAATGAAACTAAATTTTTATCCCATACATGATACATCATTTCATCCCAAAAATCATCCTTTCTTGTTGGAAATTGAGACGAGAAAGGGACAAGAATATCTCATGAAAGCAGACAAAACATGAAAGTGAGGCATGGATATAACATTTATTAAAGTATATAACTTGTTAAATTAAAAATTAAAGTATGAGTATATAAATTTAATTATTGAATTACAATTTAAAATAAAAAAACACAATTATAACTTAAAATTAAGTACATGAACAATTATAAATAACATTCATGCTACATGCATTACGATAACTAGATTATTGAGTTACAAAGTTCAAATAAACTTGCTAAGCACTACATTAAACCATCAGTTTTTTCTTTTAGTTGAGATATTTGAAACTATTTCATATAATATATATACATATATATTATTAACAAATATATATATATATATACACTGAATAAATAAACAGTTATATGTAATGAAAGAAAAATAATAACGTGTATGTTATATTCATCTTTGGATAGGATATTTGAAGGTGGTCTAGTGTCTCATCCCGAACCATTTTTTGTACCATCTTGTTTTTCTTTCAGGTTGAGATAATCTTGTCCCAATAGGACAGAGTCGGGCTGATCAATACAGAACAAGTATAGACACCTCTAATTTTAGTGTTTGTATTACATTCTCTCACACACACCCTCCAGTTTCAAATATAAGTAAGGTAGCTTAAGCAACTTAGACAATTTAAAAAAAGTTGATTAATCCTAATAACTATATTTGAAATTGAAAATTTTGGACTAAAATGTCCTTATGATTAATTAGCCATGTTTTGTTAACTTAATAATATTATCATTTAATGAAGGGCAACTAAGAAACTATATCATGAATGTTTCTTGAAATTTGTTATTTTGCTTATAAAAAACAAGAAACCATGGAGAAGTTTTGCTTATATTTAAAAATGAAGGGATTAGTTAATGATCTTAAATAAGGCTAATATTAAAAAAACTTATAAGGATCGAAACAGTACTTTAACCTGAGGATTTAATTAGGTCTAAATTTATTCAAATTGAGTGTGGTAAAACCACAAAAGACAACAAAAGCTCACCCATCAAACACTCAATGTGATCGCATTCCTAAACCAATCCATACAGTTTGTGTATTTTTGTTAGTTTTTATTATAAAACATTTTTGATTGCCTTATTGAGATTGAAAAGAGATGGTTAAATCACTACTCTTGTCTAAAAGTATATCTAACAAATTTCTAATGTTACTCCTATTTTAAATGAAATTTTAAAATTTTGCAGCAAATTTTTTCTTTTGATTTATGTTATGAATTTTAAAAAAGAGTAATATTTAAAAAAAACTTGATTAATATCTCAATAAGTGACTTATAATAAGCACAACTCATCTCTTCTAAAAACATACCTCAAGGGAGTGTTTAGATTTGTGAATTTGGATATGGATTTTATATTTAAAATCTTACATTTTAAATCTCACATTTAAAATTCTTTGTTTATGTAGTTTAACAAAATTTTAAATGAAGAAAAGATATGAATTAAGATTTGAAATGAAAGTAGACAATTGAAAGTGATAAGCTTACCTTAATTTTTAATTAATGAAAGTTATAGATATATTAACAATGAAAATATAAAAATGATGGGATTTAAAATGATTGAAATTTTAAATAATTATGCTATCAAGAGAATTTAAAATTATAAAAGAATTATATAAAAAATAAATTTGGATTTGACTAAAACCTAAATCGATAAAATTTTGCGTATTTAAATGAAAGATTTAGTTTAAATTTAAATTCAAATTGTTATTAATTCAAACCTAGTATAAAACAATATAAGTGGTAATTTATTATTACATGGAATTGGTCCCTTGCCTGAAAACCAATCAACTTCTCAAATTTCTTTTTTCTCTTTTCTTTCTTTGTTTTTTTTTTTTTTTTGGTAACCTCTTTTTCCTCTTTATATACAATATCACATGGAATTTGTCCCTTGCCCCAAAACCGATCCATAGAATTTGTTCTCCTGCTGCCCTTTTTTAATTAAGTATTTGATAATGACCAGTATTCCCTTCTATATTTAATATAAGTTTTCTAACCAATCCATATATTTATTTAATATACATAATAAAATGTATAATAAATCATAATACCATTTATTTACTTTTTTAAGTTTTGTTTAGAACTTAAGAGATTAACTTAGTTTAATAGAAATTCAATATATATCAACAGAGTAAAAATTTCAAAAATAGAATTTCAAAGAATTATAAAAAATAAGTTATTATTGACGCTTCTTCATATAAACAAAATTTCAAATGTTATAAATGTATCTTCATAAAAAGTAATGACAATTTAAAAAAATCATTATCAATAAAAATATTTAATCATAAATCGAATAATTATAAAGTGACAACTTTCGAAAGAAATAAATTTACAATAACTGGTTTATACAATTTTTTCATAAAAAATATATTTCAAACATTACAATTATTTTTAGCATACATTATGAATCGTTAGCTGTGATTTAACACTTTTTTCAAGTAACAACTACGATTCTCAATGACACAAATAAAAATAATTAGGTGCTAACATGAGAAAGTGACTATTTTAGTAATTCCGAGAAAAAGCCAGGGACCTTCTCTGGATCCCGCCATAGCTGGCACCATAACAATCTCACATCCTTGTTCCCTTTTGAGTCAGAGAATTAGCTGCTTCTTGTTCTTCATCATCTTCTTCTGCAACTGAATCTACCTATTCACAAATCCCAAGAAACAAAACATGGAACACAGAAGATCAAGCTCATCCTCTTGTCTTCATCATGGTCTTCTTCTTGTTGCTGTTATTGCTCTCTGTTTCTCAGGATCTGCTAAAGCTTACAAGAATTACACAGTGGGTGACTCTCTGGGTTGGTTTGACAATCTTGAGAAGCCCTCTGTTAATTACCAGAAATGGCTTTCTGGTAAACAGTTCAGCTTAGGAGATTTCCTCAGTAAGTCACTCTCTCACACTTCCTTATGTGTTTCCCAATTCTCATATTGTTCTTTTCTTAGTGATTGTGCCTGCGTCTGTGTGTGTTTATAAATCAAAGATTGGATCATAGTATCTCAGATTCACTGCTCATATATGTCACTGCTAAGTTCTTCCATGATTTCTCTGTTCTTGCTGTTGAGTGTTGTGTAACTCTGATGTTCTTTTCTTACTGAGTCTGTTAATTTGTGTCTTTTTTTATGTACGTGTATTTTTATATGCGTGTGTGTGTAAGCATGAATATATATGGAACAGAAATTTGAGCTTAGGGTTTTAAATTTACTACTCAAGTACGTAAGGTATTAAAAATTGGATCATTTATTAAACCGGCGAGGCACTTATTCAAAAGTTAATAGTGAGAACTGTTGTTGAACTATGATTAAACTGGCCATAAACAAAGTATTTTACTAACGCCAAGACACTGGTTTAACAGCATATATGTTCTTAGTTACTACTAAGTTCCATGATTTCTCTGTTCTTGTTGAGTGTTGCCTAAGTCTGATGTTCTTTTCTGAACTGATAATGCATGTGTCTGTGCCAGTTTTGGATGTAACTGTTAACTTTTAAGTCACTCATTTGAAGAAAATGGTGCTTTTTTTTTTATTTCTCTGACTAATTTTTAGAGAAATTTGATTGCTGGTGTTTCATGAAGATACTGCTGTTTCTGTTTGTTCTGTTATATTCTGGTGTTAAGAATGTTGTAATTGAAGTGGTTTATTTCTCTGACTAAGATATTTCTTTTTATATATGCGAAATTGACAGAAACTTGCAGTGAACATTTTGATTCTCTTGCTTTATATATCTTGTTTATATATATATATATATATATTCATGGTATTATGATATGACGAGGAAGAACTGAAGCTAGAAATTAGCTGTGTTTGAGAATGAAGCTTTCAGAAAATTTGTGTGAGAAGCGCAAATTCATAAGCAAAACCTTAAAGACTGAGCTTTTTAGTGATAATAACCCAGAAATGAGGCAAACTGGCATGATTGTATCTTTAGTCTTTATGTGGCTTCGATGGAACAAAAGGGAAAGAAAGATAAAAAAAAATAAAAAATAAAAATCTCAGATTCTGATGCCAAACTGATCACTGTGTCTGTCATAAGTGTCACATTTTTACGTTATTCTTTTCTTTTGGTCCAAACATCCTCTTTAGGTCACTCAGACCAGATTGAAAAAGTCAATGATACTAGGGTTCCTGATAATATATACACACATATATATACACACACACACACGACCCCTTACCTTAATTCTTCGAGCTGAATAATCAAGACAAACAATGTGTGAGTGGGGGTGTCAACATTAATTATTCTAGAATTTCCATCTTATTTTTTAAAAAACATTTCAATATCTAATATTTTTTATTAATATAGTTTTGAGTATTGTCAAGTTTTAAATAAAAATTTTCTTGATTGATCAGAGGTTTAGAAGCATTTGTCTACTGGCTCCCTTGAGCGTTTGATCTTTCGTGGACCTATTCCTCAAAGAATCTCCTGCTGCTGCGACTTTCTATTCTATTTTGTTTGTTATGTGTCCTGTTTATTTTATTGGGTTTTCGAGTCTATTTTCGTTTTTTGTTTTTTTTTTTGTTTTCTATTTTTTTGGGTTTGTTTGTTTTCGTTTTATATCTTTTCATTCTGGCTGTGGGTCTGGGAAATTAGTCCACCAATTTCTTGGACTTTGTTATAGTCGTTTATTTTTCGTTTTGTTATTAATCTTGTTTCTTTGGTTAACAAAAATAATTTACAAAAAAGAAAAAGAAAATTTTAATATTTAAATTTGGGATTTTGGTTTAGAAACATGACATGAAATATTTTTAAAGAAAGTGACTTCGCTCTGTCACTTACAACCCAAAATCGTGCCATTGAAAATATATGTGATCTTTTTTGTATATACTTATTTTCCAGTCTAATTCTATTGAACTACAACGACTTTAAAGTTTAAAGCTTTTTTTTTAAAAAAATTTATTTAAGATCAGTTATCACTTAGTGTCCATTTTTGTGTGTGTGTGTGTGTGTGTGTGTGTGTGTGTAATCTTTGACTTTTGTAATGCAGTTTTCAACACAGACAACAACCACTCTGTTATCCAGACATACAACTTCACAACATACAAATACTGTGACTACGACGATGCACAAGACAGCGACACTGTCCAGTGGTCGGCGTCGGACCCATCAGCGACGGAGCCGCATTCGGTGGCGGTGGCGGTGCCACTGGTGAAGGAAGGGATGACGTACTTTTTCTCGAGTGACTACGACGGCGAGCAGTGCAAGAATGGGCAACACTTCAAGATCAACGTGACGTATGGCCAAGGGTTACCGAAGAATCTAAGAGATTCTTCTCAAGATTCTCCTTCACCTAATGCTAGCCCTGTGTCTGGAGATGAAGATGCAGCTCCAGATACTATTGTTCCTTCTAACTTCAACAATCCACATGATGTTGATGATGATGAGAAGGCTGAGAAATCATCAGCTGGGTCGTTTGTTTCCGGGAAAATTTGTTATAATTTTCTTGGAAATTGTCTTGTTTTTCTAGGGAGTGTTTTGCTCTGTTTGATTTGATGAGTTGAGTCATTGAGAGGCGCTTATAGTTATATAATTCGTTTTTTTTTTAAATTTGTTTTGTTGTTTCTTTATTTGAATGAATAGGCTTGAAATTGGTTGGGCTTTTATTTTCTTTTTTTAATTACTGGTGAGTTAGTGATTCAGTTCTTAGTATATATTATTACCAAAAATAATAATATAATAATGTGATTGATGCATTCTTTATTGATATAGAAGAATAAACCTTGGAAATTTTAGAACGGAGTTTACGCAAAATGCATTTTTTCCCCTTCCAATTGAGCCTATTTCGTTTGTTAAAAAAAAAAAATTGAGCCTATTTCGGCTGGTCTAAAAAAAATTTCAAAAATAGCCAATTTTTTTATTTTTTAGTATTATATATAATATGTATTGAATATTTATTAATTTCTTAAGATTTATTTTATTTTGTATTAAGAGACTATATACATATTTAAGCAGATATTTTGAAATAAAAAATTCATATCATTATATTTCTATAATTTTTAATGGGAAAACATATATTTTGATCTTTGCACTTTACTTATATTTTACTATAAGTCCTTACACTTTTTTCAACGTTTTGGGTCTCTACTTTTTCATTTTTTAGTGTTTTATATGCATTTAAGGCCCTTACACTTTGTTCATTTTGTGCATTTAGGGACCTATAACATTAAAAAATGAAAGTGCAAAGATTTAGAAGATAAAAAAAATATGCAGAGAGCTATAACAAAACACGAGCAAAGGGATCAAAAGGTTTGTTTTTCCATTTTTAATCTATAAAATACTTTAAAATAATTTAAAAAATGAATTTTAACCTCGATTTTAAAATTTTTAGGTGCACAATGTTTTCAAAAATTGATTCTTTCATATTTATTGAATGTCTTGAAAAGTACATTATATTTTTTATAATAACAATCTTAATTAATTTTAAGTTAAAATGAAAAAAAAGCCTCTAACTCTAGTAATAATCAAATGGTAAAAAAAGAAAAAAGAAACTCTAGCTCTAATTATAATTGAAAAAAATTAATCTTTTAATTCTTTTGCTTGTAACTTAATCTTTCAATTATGACTCATTGTAATTCCATCTCCCAACTATAATTCATTTCAATTAAGTCTCTTAACTTTTGATTTATTTATAACTAGATCTTTATTTTTCAAAATTTTTAAAAAAATTCTCATTATCAAATAAGAAGGATAAAAAAGATGCTTATCTCTTGCTCTAAAATATCATTCTCTTACTTTTTGATGTGTAATTTAAGTTAACATGAAAAAACTACCAAAAGTTGAGGGACTAAGCCATAGAAGAATTCAAAGTTGAGGAATTGAGTTATACATGAGTCAAAAGTTGAGGGACTGATTCGTAACAAGTTATAGTTAAAGGATTGAGTTATGAATGAGTTAAAAGTTGAGGGACTAAAAAATTAACTTTTCCATCATAATAAGTTTTTTTTTTTGCTTTTGCACCCAGTATCTTGAAGTATCTGGTATGTTTGGTTCATTGCCCATCCAGTTCACCCTAAACTAATCCAAATCCCCATTTAGGTAAGGCCTTTTTTAAGGAAGTTTTGCAGGTATCACTAATAAGGAATGTTTGCATGCTTAGCTGTCCTGTTGTATATCCTAAGACTCAAACGTGAGATTCCAAGTTAAATTATTTAAGTCTCTAAGTATTTGGACAAGTACCTAGGGGTTAAGATTGTGCATTGATATATGGGCCCACACAGGCCCAACTCAAATTGAACTTGGGTTTTTTGGTGAAAAATTGAGCCAGTTTTAAGCTCCACCAATTCAAATTATCTCTTCTAATTACTAAGAGCATGTTTGGATTAATTTTTAACCTCAGTCGGAATAGGTCAAATTAAGGTTAGGATATAAAAAGTTTAAAAAATATTGTTTGGATGAGTAGAAATTTTCAACTTAAGTTGGAGTGTAAATGAGCATTTTTGGGGAAGCTATTAGATCTAGCTTTTTCCATCACGTTGGGTGTTGGCGTTGATTTATTAGGAAAGCATTAGCTTACTCTCTCCTCTCGTCTATCTTCCCTTGAGCCCCAACTTTGCTTCACTTCCTCACGTGCGTGGTCCTTTCTTGCTCTCGTGACCTCCCTTGTTTGCATTGCTCACAGGCGGCGGTGTCTTCGCTAGTTGATCTCCACTGTCTTATTCTCAAGGACCTTCGGTTGACCTCTATCTCTCTGACGTCCCTTCTTGTATTAGCATGTCCCTGCTCATCTCAGTCCTCACCTAACGCTTCATTCTCCCCTCCACAACTCCACATGAACGTTTCTGGCATTCTTGGCTTCCTTTGCGAGTCTAACAAATCCTTATGGCTCTCTTTTGCTTTGCTTCTTCTTCTTCTTGGTCTAGATCTAATCTCTTTAGACCCATCTTCTCTGCATTCTCCTCTGCCCCTTCTCTCTGTCATTCTATCTCCTTGGCCGATGACTCCTCTACTCTCACCATTGAGACCTCTCTTCCATTTAGGGTAGTTTTGCAGAGCAATCCAACATTAGAAGTTGGCGAGGTGGGGATCAATGTACTTGGTAGTTTTGCAGAGTAATCCAATATTATAATTATAAATAATACTTAATATTTAATACTTCAATTTGCAAATATTATTTTTCTAAATTTTAATTTTTTTAAAAGAAGATCAAACTAGACTATTTATTAAATTTTAATTATATATAGAATATAATTTATCATTCTTTCATGCTCTTTTTTAAAATTTTAAGCAATTAATTTATTTTAGATATTTTAAGTCTACCTTTTTTAAAAAAAATAATTTAAAGTTTATGATTTTTTTAAAAATATCAAATTAATCACAAAAATATATACAATAAAATTTATACTCATTTTTATCATTATATATCTTAACTGTTGTCCTTTAAATTAAATTATCTAAATATTTTCAATCTGTTTAACTGATTTTTTTTAAAAAAATTTAAACATAAATCACATTAAAATTACAGACTCTTTTCTTAACTTCAATTTACTAACTCAGTTAAATCCTAACTTCAATAAAAAATTTTTAATTTTTTAATACGAACACATACTAATTCCAACCCAATCTAGATTAATTTCATATTTTGTGAAAACCAGTGAAGTGTTTGGCGGAAAAGGCCCCTCGCTGTTGGCTTGATCAAACTAGTGTAAAAGCCAAGAACAATCCTCGTTCCTAACTTGAGCGCGAAGAAGAGTATAGACCATTGGGAAAGCCGGAACAGAAGCGAGAGGGAAGAGATGGCGGAATCGTCAACGTCAACATCAGTGCTGGCAGCGAAGTCTGATGCTGAGATTGAAGAACTGCTTGATCGAATGCTAACTCGTTTGGCTCTTTGTGATGATTCCAAACTCGAACCTTTGCTTTCCAAGCTTCTTCCTCTCTGCATCTCCTCCCTATCGTCTCAATCCCAAGCTGTTCGGAACAAGGTAGCTTCTGAATGCGTTCGTGGCGTGTCGTTGTAGGCTTCAGCGGAATTTCGAAATTACATTTTTGCTTGAGAATGATCACTGCTCTTGGCAGTTTGCGAGATGTTTCAATGTTTTCTTTCTAGTTTTGGTAATATATATACGGATGGTTAGAATGAATACTATGAAGTGCTAATCCTGTATCTTGTACTGTTTTTATTAGTAAAATCTCCTATGATAAGTTGGATTTAAGCTAGTGTATTAAGTAGAGTATTGATACGCCAGCAAATTACTTCCCTTTTCAGTGTTGAAAGATGAAAATATACTCCTATGTAAAATATGTATGAATTTGCTTCAACAACAATAATTTTTCGAGCTTAATTACCATGTTAGCTGTGTTTCAGTCCTTTGATCTCTTGGCTTATTGATGTAGTGAAATAGATTGGCTTTATAAATAACATCCTGTAATTGTTAATTTGTTATCTTTTCAACAGGTTCTTGAGATTTTGAGTCATGTGAACAAAAGAGTAAAACTTCAGCCTGACATTGGTTTACCTTTATTGGAGTTATGGAAACTTTACTCAGAATCTAGTGGTGCTCCCATGATAAGGAATTTTTGTATTGTGTATATAGAGATGGCGTTTCAACGTGTAGATGCAAAGGTCTGTATATATGAACTTTTAAATATAGTGACTATTTGCTGTTGGTTTTTATCCCACAATGTTATTTTTGATACTGCTTATACCGGTTTACCATTTGACTGAAATTTCTACGAGAGATATATAATTTTATAGTGGATAGACAATTCGATTGTTCCAAAGCTTTATTTGGAACCCTTTTAAAGATCTGTTTTTCCTTGGCTTCAATCACCCGGCTCAAAATTTAACAGATCACTTTTTCTCTGCATGAAATCTAAAATTTGATCATGTAAATCAGGAAAAAGAGAATTTGGCGCCTGTTCTCTTGGTGAACATCTCAAAACTTCCTCTTCAACACCAGGAAATCATACTAAGAATCATTGTTAAGGTTTTGACCTTCCTATCTCCTTTACAATACTATAATTATTTTTCATATAGTTCTTGTATTGATGTTTTTCTCTATTTAGAGTTTGCAGGCCGGATAATGACTGTGACCATCCTATTTCTCTTTGCTTAGAGATGTTATTTTTTTATTTCTAAGTTTATATTGTACACAAAATAATGTCATGGTGCATTAAATAATATTTATGGCTACTGATTCCTGTATGATTCTTTAATGTATATGTACTTGCCTCTGCATGCCCCCGGCGTCCCTTTTGATCAATATTTCTTCAAACAATGAAACCATATCTTATTATCTCCCTCCCTTGCCATTCTCTTTGCTCTTGGATTGAATCTTGATGCCCTTAATTCCAGGATCATAGTTTTTTTTTTTAACTATTTTTTTCGGTAAGGGTGCCTTGTGACTTACATAGTGACTTCACTTCTGTTGCTTATTCAAGCTAAAGGTTTTTGGTTTGGATACGTGCACTGAACAGAATTAATATAAATGATTTGCTTCAGATTCAAAGACCAAAAATTGCCTTTCTCCTTATATTCGTATATAATTTCATTGTTCTGAAGCACACAATCATCTTTTTCTGCATTGTGTAGTGACAACCATTTTGTAGTAGGATGTTTGGTATTTTCCAGCACTCAATCAGTTTTTCCAGCTAATCTGTAGAATTTTTAGCCGTTAAGTTTACTGGTTGTGGCCAGGAAAAGGAGCATAAAGTTCTTTGGAAGTGAGCTGTATTGGCTAGCATGCTGTGTCTGTCATTAGAAAGGAACGTGAGAGTGTTTAATGAGAAGTTTCTTTTATCACATCTTAATTGAGAGAGAATTTCTTTGTGTGGCCTCTTTGTAGTTTTCATCAATGGTCTTTTTAGGGGTCATCCTTTCTGGAATCTGGATTCACAAGCAACGGCAGATCTCTGTTCCTTTTTCTTTACAGCTTTAAAGAAGTTCCTTAGCAAATTTTCCATGGAGACAACACTGAAAAATGCTTGACAACTTTGGTGACAATTTATCAAAAGAAATAAAATGATTAATAGGATGCTAGGTGCTTGACCTTACTCCTTTCCTCAAAGCAACATGCACTTTCAACTTTTCCTTTTTCTTTTCAATAAAATTTCTTTTAGTATCACAAATTAAATAAAAAAAGGCCATGCATGAAGTGCCTTATCGTGTCCCGGCCAAGGGCCTTAACTAACTTGTTGTGTGCTTGTATCATGTGCTGTGACTAGCTGCCCACAATCATATGTTTTTGAGCTCTTGCTAATGAATTTCTTCTTTCTCTTAGGTAGTTGGTGAATGCCACTCAAGTCAAATTAGTGACGAAGTTGCTGCAAAGTATAGATTAGTGACTGATCCACATGACAGGGAGCTGTTTATTGAGTTTTTTACTCACACAATGTTGTACCAGCAGGTTACTCAGAGGTTTGGAGCTACGTTGATTGCTGAAACTATCCTTGCAATATCTGAACTTGTTCTATCATTAGAATATTTTATTGCAATCTTATGTAAATTAAATGTTAGCTGATGATTATTTGCAGTGGTGGATCCCCTTCTGGACTTTCAGTTTCTCAAGCCAATCGTGTTACAGGGAAACAACAGTTGCCAAGTGATAAACTTCTGCTTGGAAAGGTAACTATGTAACTGGTTAAATGATATTTTTCATGATAATATGGGAAATGTTTTGATGTTGTTGTTATTATTATTCCCAAATATTACATTTGAAATGTGCATAAACCAAGTTGTAGGCTGCTTATGCTTGATATTTTACTGTTGTGAGAAATCATCGGATGAATTTCACTTCAAGGTGGTCTTAATATGCACTTAACTGCTAGTTATAGTTTGCCAAGTGATTGTGCTTAACAGACACGTATATAAAATTGCATCGTTAATTGTTTGATTTGAAATTCAAATGGCCCTTGTTTTCCTTTGTCAAATTTTTCTTGGAAAAAATCAACGCTCCTTCTAAGATAAAGTTTGTTGTTTGGACTATATTATTTAATAGAATTAATATTCAATGCAAGTGATATCTTATTTGGAGGCTCAATATCACTAGATATTTGTGTGATGTGTTTTAGAAGCTCTTAAGACAAATAATCATCTTTTTCTACATTACGACGTGGCTTGGCAGATTTGAAATAGCCTTGTAGTGTTTTTATCGAGGGTGAGATTCGACTGCCCAATGTACAGGCTTTTAAGCTGTTAAGTATGTGGGTTTCAGGCAGAGAAAGATGCATGAAATTCTTTGTTGGTGCTGTTTTTGCAAGATTATCTTTGGCTATGGATTTGTTGCAGGAAAGCATGGTATTCATGTTTGAAGTTTGGTGTCCTGCTTACTTTTTTTTTCTTGCTGATTGCCATATCAGATCTGCAATGACATCGAGCTGTTTTGCTGCATTTTTAATTTGAATACTATTTGGTTCTTTTTCTTAGGTTTCTTTCAGATGACATTTTATTCTTCCTTTTTCCTAACTCTTTTATTCCCTTTTTTTTTTTTTGCTTGATAAAGAAAAACAAAGATGCTGCAAGTGGTAATTTTTTTTTTTTGGTTTCTTTCTGTGTGCAGTTGGGTATTTTGAATGTCATCCAAGCCATGGAGCTGGCCGCTGAGCTTGTATATCCCTTATATATTGCTGCCTCTGTTGATTGGTATAATGTAGTTCTTGTGTTATGTGAATTCAATTGCGCATTATCTGACTCTTTTTACTGATTTATATCTTTTGGGTGATTTGTTTGTGGATTACTTGTGTTGTTTGATTGATTAACTCAAGCGAAGAGTCTGTTATTAAAAAAGGCGAGGAGCTTTTGAAGAAGAAGGCCAATGGTGTTAATTTAGATGATCAAAATCTGATCAACAGGCTATTTTTACTATTTAATGGTATGCTTTGTTAACTTTTGGCAAGTTGGGCATATAGGCATATGTTTCTATAAAAAATTATAGATATGGGGATATTGTTTTTTGATCTTCACATTCTGTACGTGACCATGTATATATGACTATATGTGTAAGGGTCTCGTGTGATTAATCTATTTGAATCTGCATGGCTCTTAAAGATTAAATTGACTTGCTAAAGTAATGTGCTTGAGAATCTTCTTGAATTCTGGGAGATTGTTCCTAATTGTCATTTCATGTTTCAAATGTTACTTTATTTCTTCTATGTAACTGTTGCTCAAATGTGACTTCTTGAATGCATTTTGTGTATTTGAGTTGTGCCCATTGGCACCTTTTCATCTGTTGCTATTTTAAAAAGTTAGCGTTCTGTCTTCTGTTCTAGCATAAGATTAATTGAAGATTTTTTCTTAACTCTAATAGCAATGCTTAAAAATGAACATTATTTAGTACCTTAGGTGTAATTAAATTAGGCCACTTCAATATGCTTGACTCTGGAGATTTTTAGTCATAAATGTGTTCGATTCTGCTACTAGAAGGTATATTTACAAAGTTGTTTACTGTTGATCTAAATTTAACTTCGATTATATAATTACCCTAAATGATACCCCAACAACTGCTTTAACACTTCTTTCATGCTGCGATATTTATATGGTTAGTTGTTAGATTGGTTAAATTAATTTGGCTTGTGCGTGCCTTTTTGGTTTTTGCTCTTCCATATTAGAGACATAGCAAATTCTTTGCATTTATGTTTTCCTTGGTTCTCTTCTCTCTTCACAGTTGAGCATCTGTACATGTTTGACTTTGATGTAGGCACTGTTGGAGTTGAAAATGTTGATCCAGAATCAAGAGTCAATCCTGGGAGCCCTGCACTAAAAGCAAAATTAATGTCCGTCTTCTGTCGGTCCATTGCAGCAGCTAATACTTTCCCATCCACCTTGCAATGCATTTTTGGTTGCATTTATGGTACTAGAATGTTCTATTACTTGGTGTTGCTGTCCGTGTATTTGATGATATTCTTGTGTACCTGTGATATGGATGATTTCGTTGTTACTAGGATTGAAAGGAAAAACAATGTGATTAGCTATAGTTATATATCCATTCAAATTGTCGATAACTCAACACTAAAGGGAAAGAAGGGGGATATCTGATTAGCCATATTTATACAACAACAACAACAACAAGCCTTTATCCCACTAGGTGGGGTCGGCTACATGGATTGCAAGACGCCATTGTGCTCTATCATTTATTAAGCTTTTAGAAATATTATTAATTAAGAGATCACGTTCAACAACTTCCAAGAGTGTTCTCTTAGGCCTTCCTCTACCTCTCTTAATCGGACTCAAAGTTATATGTTCCACTCTTCTCACTGGTGCCTCCCTTGGTCTTCTTTGTACATGCCCAAACCATCTCAACCGATTTTCTACCATTTTTAATAAATTTATATATTTATATATCTAATAAATTTTTACAAAGCCGAACTCTTCACAAACCATAAAAAATGCAACTTGCTATATGGGGCTTATAGCTTTCTTGGAATCCTTTAAAAACTTCAACCTCTGACTAAAGGAATCTTCCTCTTCACTTCATTTTCTACTATTGATTTTCCCTTTCCCCCCCTCATTTTGAGATGTCTTTTCATGATTCTATCTAGTTTCATTTTAATTATGAAATATGGGGTTGGGGAGGATGGCAAAAGTTGAATTCCTGACCACATGTTTATTTACGCTTTATATCAAGGATTTTTTTTCCCCAAAAGCATTTGTTGTTAAATGAAAGCCCATTAATTGTTCAATAATTTCTAACACAACCATACTCTTGAATGTAATAGGCAGCGGAACCACATCAAGGTTGAAGCAGCTTGGAATGGAATTTACAGTATGGGTATTTAAGCATGTGAGTGTGTTATTATTTGGCACTCGCTTGTTGTCTAAGATTTCCCGCTTTGAACAAACTATTTATCTTAAGCAACAATTGGGATATGATCCAGTTGGATATGATTTGTATTCTGGGTTATTTACACTAGCTTTTGAGGTATATACTATTTTTCACCCTGGTAAAATAATTGAGAGAGAATGGAAAGTACAAACTGTATTGATGTAACCCAAAAAAAAAAAAAAAAGAAGTACCAATGGGGATCATGACGTATCCAATAGACAAACTAATTACTGACCCAAAAGAGTAAACCAACTTCCTTGCATGGCAGACAAAAGAACTCCCTTAAGATATCCCAATGAGCTGAAATTTGTGCGTGGGACAGATAGAAACTGTAAAGTTTACATCCCAAATGTTAAATTTTGCTGAAACTGTAGAATTGGATGGAGGACAGGAAGAAAAAAATAGGATATATATTTTTTATCTAATTGTGCGTCATTGACACTTTTGGACCTTAATTGTTCAAGGTGATGCTCCATGGTTCAGCTTCTGTACTAAACCTCAACTAATTTGATGAGATAATGATTAAGTTTCACTAAAAACTAACTTAAATAACTAACTAGTTATTGATCACTTATTCTAACAGAAGCAAACGCATTGCACTGTTAAAGGCTTGTGGAATGGATAGTTTATAAAATGCTACTTATATCATCATGCCTTGTCATATCCAATGAGCCAGAATGGGCTTTAAAGCTCCTGGTTGTTTCAAATAGACTTATGATGTTTGTTTATTTTCAAATTGCTATTGAGCGATCAAATGTTTATTCAAACTGTGAGAAGCGGATAACTCTGATAAATGTGTGCTACTTCTGGGGTTTTTTAGGATTCATATTTTGGAAGTTGCATTCTGTAATTTACTGTTCTATACAAAAATTTTATTGTCTACTTTTTGATCGTACAATTCTAATTTCTGGAAGTGCAGGCAAAAATTGATCAGCTTAGGTTAATGAGTCCTGTTATTCTGAATGGAATTCTGAAGTCCCTTGACAGCTATTCAAGTTTAGATGCAGGTCTAGTTTAGACAATGATATTGTTCCCTGAATTATTTGAATAGGATCAACTTATTTCATATTTAATTTTACCTATTAACTCAGATGCTAGTGCTCGGGAGGTCAAAACATATGCTTTTCAGGCAATTGGGTTGGTTGCACAGCGCATGCCTCATCTTTTCAGGTCTATACATTTTATTTGGTTGAATTTTTGCCTGCCTTTCACAATCCTTTGTACTTATAGATGTATATCATTCTTAAAGTAGTTCTTTTGAATCAAACTGTTAGCAAAAATTCAGAACTCTCTCCTACAAGAAGACTTTAGTGGTACTGGGTTGTAATTAATGCAAGAATATGTGATAGACATGTATGCCTCATGAGATTCCTTTTCTTGATGTTCATGTTACGTGTTTAGAGATTCTGAGACAAATTGTAATCTTTTTTGTATATGAGGAGGCTTGTCAGATATGAAATTGGACATTTATGTGCCCTTTCTTCTAGTCAAGATACACAGTTTGGGTTTTTATTCTTCCGGTATCTTCTCTTGCAAATCTTATCTGCTATCCCTAACTTATTATACAACAAGGGTAAGTGTCTTCTTGTAAGCTAATTTGGAATTCCAAAGCTTTTTCAAAGGTCAAATCCTTTGTCTGGACTCCGATAGTAGGTAGGATAAACACAATGATATATTGCCAGTATGAATGGTCCTTAAGGCTGTTAGATCCAGTCTAGAGACACCGCCCCATCTTTTTTTTCCTTTGTCAAGTAGCAAGCCATCTTTGGAACAAACTCCTTGGTATCTCTGGTGAGAGTTGGGGGTCTTTTGGTAGGCTAAATCAGTTAATTCAAATTCAATATTAAGGGTTTGGCAATGAGAAGGAAAAAAACTTTGTGGCAGTGTGCAGTATATGGGGTTTTATGGTTTATTTAATTGGAAAGGAATTTGGACATTTCAAGGGCATATTTTCTCCTTTTTCAGATATGGGATTGAACAGTGTTTACGCCTTCCCTTTGGTGCCTGCATATGGTTTCTTTGAAAGAAACTACTGTATCTGATATGCAATGAGATTGAACAGCCCTATCATATTAATAGGTTCTTTAGGATTTTTGTTATTTTTTTGTGTTTTGATATGTTCTTGTACCTTCTGGTCTGTGTGGATAGTGAATATTTTAACCTTTGGTTGGCCGTAATTTACTCTCTTTCAATAACACCCCTTTTCTTTAAAATGTAGTGGATTTACAGAATTTTTATGAGCAATGGATTTGTCTAACCTTTTTTAACATGTGATCTGTTCATGTTAGTGGATTGGGGAGGAGGAAGGAATATAAAGCTTATTTCCTCACCATTATGGGGTTGTGGTATTTTTAGTTGAAAGTAATATAAGAAAATTTAGTGAGCCTATTGTCACGGGCTGAGAGTCTGACGCAGCACACAGCGCCCGTGCGGCGTCCCGAGGATCCCATAATCCTCGAGACCAGCCTTACCACATACGAATCACACTGGTTTCGCCCTGCCATGGGCTCATCAGGGAGGCGGCACTAGCCCCCGACCAGTCGTGCACTCAGCCTGAAGACTGAGGCAGAACACATCCAATGCCAATGTCGCCCCTTTTACCCATATTGTGCGAGGCTAACCAGCGGATCGTTCATTACATGGTCTTTACACGGTCACGAAGATATCATTCGTGACATTCTCCCACACCTAATCTAGCACGCCCTCGTGCTAGGGGAGAAAGACTCTGCCCAAAGATCGCACGTACAGTACTGCCACAA